TGAGACTACTGACTGCACACAGTAATTCGGCTCGGACTTGTTGGCAACTCAAATTGAAACACGAATACTGACACAGTGGTAAAGCACACTTGACACCAAGAGATGGAATAACCTCTTGATACTCTTACAAACACAAATTGAGCAAAGTGCTAAAGGTCGGCGCTCACGTTTCTTCAAAAATGAGCAATTTGCATGTTCCTTGAAAAAACGATACCAATCCCAAAAACGATACCTAGCCTTGTGACGGTACACATCTTGGAATCTATCTTTGCCTGTTGACAATGTTGACACTCGAGACAGTGTATGTCCAAGGTTTTTTTGCATATGGTTTGCCATGCTAGCTGGACATTCCAGTTAATTTTTGCTAATTTTCCCTTCTTTTTCTTTGATGGGAAACAATTATGGGTTCAGACCGATACCAAAAACGATACCAAACGATACCCACTTCATAGGTCTGTATCCCCTCAGACACCACCTGCCCACTCACATGCCACTACTTCTTTTTCTGCTACTACTACTACTACTATGACGACGACGACGACGACTACTACTACTGCTACTGCTACTACTACTACTACTACTACTACTGCTAGTACGTAGTACTAGTACTAGTACACGACGACTACTAGTCATCATTTGCAAGATCACCTTCCAGAGCAAATTACATTTAGACGATACCTCCCAAAAAAAAATTGCATATGGGTTGAAAAAACGATACCAATCCCAAAAAACGATACCATGCTCTAAACGTACCACCAAACGACCCCTAGTTTTGCCGGTCGCTCAATTGGAATCAGATGGAATCAGCCAGTTTTTGTGAGATGGGTTCTTTCTAAATCTTCGATTCACACCTTTTCTGTTCCTTCGAAGCTTCGTGAAGGTTAAGAGTCTTCGCTTTGTTGAGGTGGAAGGCTTCCGGCCCCTACTTGTCATAGACATGGCCGGTGGCGTAGGGCAGGCTACGAATGACGCATGAGAAACGGGAACGAAACTGTGACCTGAAATGAGTTGCTTGAGGATCTAAGTGAAAACACAAACCCTTTCAAAGGTTTTGTTGGATAGCCAATGCCCTTTGATCATCTTCGATCTGACTAGACTACGATAGACGACCTATGCTATCCTATGCTGAATTACCGAATGTCACCCCGCCAGAACTCTGTTTTCATCAAAGCCGCAGTCAAGAGGCTAATGCCCTGCACTCAGCTGGAAGCCTTCAGGCTCTCGGTACAAAATACTAGCACTACAGTATCTATATATATATATATATAGTAGTAGGAGCAAGAACGCTACTAGGGGCTCCTGGCATCGCTACTAGGAGCAAGAAGCTACTAG